AATCCCTTCCAACCCAGGGTTCCAGGCAGACACTACCAATCAATCAGAGTTGGCCAAGGAGATTAAAAGGATCCTCTCAGCCCTGCTCTGGGCAGACAGAGCTGTCTGGTGTTCCTTTAGCATGGCGACTGCTCATTGGCCGGTATTTGTTGCCGTTCGGTCACTAAGTCTTGTCCGACTCTTTGCGGCCCCATAGATTGCAGCAGGCCAGGCTTCCCTGTCCTTCACTATCTCTGTCCATGGTTATTGAGTGAGTGAATGAATGAGTGAGTGAGTGAGTGAGTGAACGAACAAATGAGCACCCAACCTGTGCCAGGTGCTCGGGCAGAGGCCCCCAGGTGAGATCACATCCGCTCTGTATGCACATTCCATCGGTAAGGACAGAATTCGTTCAAAAGCCAACAAATCCAAAACTAGCAGCAGGGGTCTCCACTCCTCCCCTGCTGCTCGTGGTGCCCCCCACTTCCCCAGAGCCCTGGGATCAGAGTCGCTTTTCCTCCCTTGCTGGAGGATCCAGTCAAGTCACCGAAGCCCTATGAGCCTCACATGCTTCATCCATAAAATGCAGATGATAACCAAACCTGCCTCAAAGGTGGCTGTGGGGCTTCAGGAGACCAGCGCGGGAGGCAGTGGCTGGCAGAGAACAAGAGCTCCAAAAAGCCAAGCTGCTGTCAACCTTCCGCATTGCATGTAAGACCTTGAAGCCAGGAGCCATGATGTCTTCCTGGGCACTGAGCCTGTTGCCTTGGACCATGCTGGGCAAACACAGACGGGTCATTAACCTGTATGTGGGACAGTGACAGGATGCTGGGTCTTCAGGGCAGGAGGGGTGTTCCCCAGCTCTGGGACCCCAGCCAAGCTCCCCAGTGCCCAATAGCCACAGAACAACTTTCTCAGGCTGTAGTACCAGGCTCCCACATGCAAGCACCATGGACTCTGAACCTCAGAGAGGACTCAACAGTGACCCCTGCATCCAGCCCTGCCCCACAGTTTCTCTGCCACTGCCCACAGTGTCAAATCTCAGTCCCCATGGAGTAACCCCCACTCCAAGCCTCGGAGACAGCAAGCTGGGGCAGCCAGAGGCTGGACTGGGAGGTGGGATGTCTGGGTTTCAGTTCCATCTCTGGGCAACACACTCAGCACATCCTTCCTCCTCTCTGGACCTCAGTTTATGTGCGTGTATGCTCAGTTGCTCAGTCATGCCTGACTCTTTGCTACCCTGCCAGGCTTCTCTGTCCATGGGATTTTTCAGGTCAGAATACTGCAGTGAGTTGCCATTTCCTCCTCCAGGGGATCTTTCCAACCCAGGGATCAAACCCACATCTCCCGTATCTCCTGCGTTGGCAGGCAAATTCTTTATCACCGAGCCATCTGGGAAGACCTTGAGCCTCAGTTTACCTATCTGAAATTAGGGATGGGGGCAGCCTGATGCCTAGGACCCTTCCAATTCTAACAGTGTCTTCTGCATACTTACACTTACTGATTGATTAATTTCACAAGTGTTTATTGAGCACCTACTGCATACCAGGCCCTGTGCTGAGCCTCAAGCTGTTCTCTCTGCTAAAAGACCCCTCCCCATCCTTGGCCTCCCAGTCTCAGCTTCCTGCAGGAAGCCTTCTCCAGGACAGCTCTGGGGACCCGCCTGTGCCCTCCTGCAGCCTCTTCCTTCCTATCATAGACTTACCGCTCTGCATCATCTGGTCTGTTTATCTCCCCCTGCTTTCCTCTGAGTTGTGGTCTCCTGAGGGCAGGATCACAGCTTGCTCCCTCTAATCCATTTGCAGGAATTCCAGAGTAAGGCTCTAGAAACATCTCTCTGGCCAGTGAACAAAGGATTGAATAGGTCAATTCCAAATCCTCCTTCTCCCAACACAGACCTTCAATTAACCTTTTTGCCTCTGCATCCTCTTCCCGAAATTGGTCCCTGAGAACCCACCAGGCCAGTCCCAAAGCTGACTAGGAGCTTCCTGGCATGTCTTCCCCTCTGAGCCCAGTGACCAAAGGTGTCCTCAGGCCTAAGTGGCATTTCAAGGTGTTCGCAGCTCCAGTGACACTCCCTGGGGTTTGACAGGAGCCCAAGTCCCGATTGGTTTTGTGACCTGCTCTTCACTGTCCCAGCATTCTCTCAGTAAATATTTAGGCATGAATTAATTTCCTCCAGAGAGCAGTGACTCAAGGCCAGATGTAATCCTCCCGCTTTAGGGGGAAAGGTGAGTGCCCCAACCTTTCTCAGGCACCCAGACCAATGAGGCCAGTTCTTCATCCCAGGAAGCCTTGTCTCACTTGGACCTGCCCTCCTGCACACATGTGCCTGCGGATATTCATACACACATGTATACATACACATACTCGATGCCCTGGACAGTCCGTAGTCCCCTGCTCTGAGCCATTGGCCATCGGAACAGAAGCCTTGTGTGAGACCCACCCGTTCAGTAAATATCTGTGAATTCATACTGTGTACCCTCCCGTTTTCACTGTTCCCAGGGGCACCAAATAGCTCAGCTGTTGTGCTACCTCCTTCAGCAACTGAGTCCTTACAACAGCTGCAGCAACTCCCCCTCTCCAGGCCACCCCAAAAAAGATCAAGGGTTTTTATTAAGCTAGACAACTGCTTAGCCCTCTCCACTAGCCCACCTCTCCATTCCCGAGAAGGAGATGAGACCAAGTGAACATGGGCCCCAGAAAGGAGGACCCAAAGAATGGGGCCACACAGATGGGACTGACCACTCCTCAGCTGGCCCCAGGGAGCAGAAGAGCCTTAGCAGAGCTCAGACTTGAGGCAGGGGCTGAAGGGGAGGCTGATTCCCCTGCCCTCAACCTGTGGCTAGGGAATCCATTTCCCTCACTACCCTCGTGTCCCATCTAGACCCCCAGAGTGAGGAGGTGCTGCTCTGAGAACGGCTGTCAATGATGAGCTGAGCTGTGAGAGGGATTTTCTTTGTGGATCCCACAGGCCCTGGTTTCAGAGCAGTTGGCAGGAAAGTGGTGGGATGTTGACCAATCAAGGTTATGTTCATCATGAGCTGAGCCCTGAGAACTGGACTCAGATTCACCCACGGCAGAAGCAAGTGGCTGATTTCAAAGAACCTGAAGCAAGTTCTACTGCTGGAAACAGACCTGGGTTCAAATCCTGCCTTCACCCCTTCTTGACTGCGAGACCTTGAGCAAGACACAAACGCTCAAAATCTTAGCTTGCCCCAATAAATTCTGGGCAAAGACAGAATGAAGGTCCCAAATGAGCATTAATATCACATTCTTAGACTCTCGCAACGTGCCAGACACTGTCCATCCCAGACTTGACTATAGAAACAGAACCTCCCACTCCTCTCCACACGGTAATGACATCTCAAAGGTGGACTTCAAAAATAAATGAATGAGGGATCCCCCTGGCAGTCCAGAGGTTAAGACTCTGAGCTTTCAATGCAAGGGGCGCAGGTTCGATTCCCTGGTCAGGGACTGAGATCCCACATACCTTGCAGTATGGTCAAAACAAAATAAATAGAAGAATGAAGTCTTTGTGTGTCTTTAAGATAGGCCCTAGGGAGGTAAGGAGCAGTATATTTTTATTTTTACAAATACTATCACATGAACAAGTTGTATTCTGTGTGTCCCTGTCAGCAGATCACCAATACAATGGAAGTAAGACACCTTTTCTCACAGTTCCCATAAAGTGTCAATCCTGGCTTCTCTGGGTGGGGGCAGAAGAGGTTCTTCCGATCACAGGGGCTCAGACCAGTTTGGGGTTGTGCACATGGCATGCAAACGCCAGAGCACTGGACCTGGAGCTGTGGGACCTTGGGCAAGTCCCTTCTGCTGTCAGCGCCCCAAGTTTCATCTGAAAAGTGGGGTATGTGCTCCTTAAATCTGTTTTTATCCTTGCTGCCTGGCACTGAGTAGATGCTGAAAAATTGTTGGAGGAAACAGACTTGGAGAATTCCTAAATCTGAGGGGACACTGAGAGAGCACTGGGTGGGCTGGCTAGGTCTCTTTACTCCTGCCAAGGGAAGAAGCAGGTGCTGAGGACAACAGGCCCAACGAAAGAAGAGACTCGGAAGAAACCCCAAGGAGAGGGTGAAACAGCAGGAAGTTTGCTCCTGAAACCTCCTCCCACCCAGCACCCCCTCCACACACACACAAGGCCCACCTAACCTTCACACTCTCTGTGAAGCCTGTTCCTCCTTCAAGGGCCAACTCAAGGACCCCCTCCTCAGGAAAATGTCCTGCCCACTTCAAAGAGACCCTCCCACCCAGGTGCCTTGGACACCCCACCAACTCTAAGCAGCAGTCACCCCCTTTCAGGGTAACCAGTCCAGATCAAAAGCCCTCTGGAGAAAATCCCCACCGTCTCAGCTCCCAGCTGGAAGGAGGTGGCCCCATGAACGATTCAGGACAAGAAGGGACACTATCAACAAGAGTTAATTTGGCGAGTTCCTCAGCAGCATGATTTCCCGAGAGTCACCCTTCTCCTCTAAGACTGAGGTCCCTATCTGCAGGCAGTCTCTGGGAGGGAGTCAGGGGGTTTCTGGAAGGGCATCCCCCATACTAGGTACATAATAATAGTCCCTATTGTCATTATTATTAGTTAGGAAAGAAAGGAGAGGTTACAGGACGGGTGATTAGGACACTGGATGTCAGCTCCCAGAACGCCTTTAGACCTCAGGTGTTTGCCAGGGGCACGCCTCCAAGCCTTCTCCATCTGAGGAATTCAAAATTCACCGTGTTTGGGGTTCTTCCGTCAGACCAACGGAGAGGACGGCCCTTCTCCGAGTGTTCTCTGAGGCCCCTCGACCAAAAAGTCAAGGAGTCAGATCCCACATTCCCAGCGACTGAGGGGACTTCTTTCCCCTGAGGAGTCCCCACAGGTCAAGCCGGCGGCCCCACGAGTCTCTTGCAAAAGCCTTGGGTCCAGTGGGTCACCCAGGGGGGCGACAGATCAGAAAAGAGGTGCCGCGTGGCCGGGAGTGGGAGTTGCGCGCACCTGCCGCAGGTGAGGCCCAGCCATGCGGAAGGGGGAGGAGCTGTCGCGGCAGCACGCAGGTGAACCGACCCTGGGCTCCCAGGAACTAGGCCGAGGGCTGCCACGGGCTCCAACGTGACGGCTGCGAGGCGGCCACGTCGCAGACAGCGGCCCCCGTGACTCCAAGTCCCGCGCGGCGCAGCAGCCCCATGAGAACATTCGAGGCAGCGGCGGCGTTGGAGGCCCCGGGTCCGTTCGGTATTTGAATAGCACAAAGGAACCGCCTTGGTCTGATTGGCCAGCTTAGTGGCCCCGGGGCGGGCAGCGTCTGTCACTCGGGAGGTTTGGGGCACTCTTATTGGCTTATCAGGTGTGGGGCGGGGCCCGGACGCCCGGCTAAATAGCTGGGGCCCGGGCCGGCCGAGGCTCATTGCTTTGGCGCCGTCTGGGGAGCACGAGCCTGCGGTGGCGCGCAGCGCATGGTGGCGGCTCCTCTCGGAGCGCAGCCGACCCGCCGACCCGGGCTCCGTTTCCCCTGCCCAGCGCGTCCCGGAGGCCGGCTGGAAGCCGAAACAGCAGCAGCCTTAGCAGCAGCAACGGCCGCGGCTGCTCCGCCGCCGCCGTCTTCAAGGGAGCATGGAGTGCGCCCTGGACGCCCAGAGCCTGATCAGCATCTCCCTGCGCAAGATCCACAGCTCCCGGACCCAGCGCGGCGGCATCAAGCTGCACAAGAACCTCCTGGTGTCCTACGTGCTCCGCAACGCGCGCCAGCTCTACCTGAGCGAGCGCTACGCCGAGCTCTACCGGCGCCAGCAGCAGCAGCAGCAGCAGCAGCAGCAGCAGCCGCCCCACCACCAGCACCAGCACCTCGCGTACGCGGCGCCGGGCATGCCGGCCAGCGCGGCCGACTTCGGCCCTCTGCAACTTGGCGGCGGCGGGGACGCGGAGGCGCGCGAACCGGTCGCCCGTCACCAGCTGCACCAGCTCCACCAGCTCCACCAGCTGCACCTCCAGCAGCAGCTGCACCAGCACCCGGCGCCCAGGGGCTGCGCGGCGGCGGCAGCGGCCGGGGCGCCCGCGGGCGGCGCGGGGGCGCTCTCGGAGCTGCCCGGGTGCGCCGCGCTCCAGCCGCCGCACGGCGCGCCCCACCGCGGGCAGCCCTTGGAGCCGCTGCAGCCGGGTCCTGCGCCGCTGCCGCCGCCGCCGCCACCCGCTGCTCTCTGCCCGCGAGACCCTCGCGCCTCGGCCGCCTGCTCCGCGCCCTCCGCGCTCCCTGGGGCCGCCCCTCAGGCCGCGGCCGCCGCCTCCCCGCCCGCCTCCCCGGCCCCCGCCTCCTCCCCCGGCTTCTACCGGGGCGCGTACCCGGCCCCCTCGGACTTTGGCGTGCACTGCAGCAGCCAGACCACCGTGCTGGACCTGGACACTCACGTGGTGACCACGGTGGAGAACGGCTACTTGCACCAGGACTGCTGCGCCTCCGCCCACTGCCCCTGCTGTGGCCAGGGCGCCCCGGGACCCGGCCTGGCGTCCGCCACCGGCTGCAAGCGCAAGTATTACCCTGGCCAGGAGGAGGAGGACGACGACGACGACGACGATGCGGGCGACCTGGGGGCCGAGCCCCCCGGGGGCGTCCCGTTCGCCCCCTGCAAGCGCGCTCGCTTCGAGGACTTCTGCCCAGACTCGTCCCCGGACGCGTCCAACATCTCAAACTTGATCTCCATCTTTGGCTCGGGCTTCTCCGGGCTGGTGAGCCGACAGCCGGACTCCTCCGAGCAGCCGCCGCCGCTCAACGGGCAGCTGTGCGCTAAGCAGGCGCTCGCCAGCCTCGGCGCCTGGACTCGAGCCATTGTCGCCTTCTAGGGACCCCCGAGGGCATGGGGACCCGGGGCCCCGCGGGGCTGGGGCCAGACAAAGACTCGGCCAAGGGGCGAGAGGAGGGAACGAACGGGCGCCCGGCCACTTCGGGCTGAGCAGGGGGCGAGCAGAGGGAGAGGGCTGATGTTTTATAAATTGTAAAATAAAAAAAGAAGAAATCTAAGATCTTGGACTTTATTTTTGCAGAGAGAAAAAGCGCCTATTTAAGTATGCTTTGTGTTTCTCCTACTCTTTTTTTTTTTTATTGTAGTGATTGCAGTGGTGTTTAGCGAGGAGCCAGCCACGTGAGGAGGGGCTGCTGCCCGGAGGAGGTGCCGGGCAGCCGGGGGGCGAGGCAGGGCGCCGGGACCGACGGGGCGCGCCGGGGGCGCAGCGCAGGAGGGCGCGGGGTCCCGGACGCCGATTCCAATCAGTTGTCAGACCCAGGAAGCCCGGAGCTCTGTTCTCTCGAGTCCCTCCGCGGGGTGAGGAATGGGTCTTGTGAAATCCTGAGCAAAAACAAAGGCAAACTCTATCTCCGAAAGGGAGGTTTGGGTCACATTTCCTCTCTGGGGGCGGCCTCCAAAGTTCTCAAAATGAGAAGGCAGAAATGAAAACACTTCAACTTTTTTTTCTTTTCTTCCCGGGGCGGGTGTCTTGAACCCCTCATCTCCCCGCCCCTCTGGCTCTGTTATCCTCCCCTCCTCCACCCGTCTTCCAGACTCGGGGGTGGCGCCGGACACCCCGACACTCTCGGACACTGTTTAGGGAAGGGGTGGGGGGCGGGCACGGCCGACTACATTTCCCATCATGCCCAGCACTGCGGTCCCCACTAAACAAAAAAGGAAGTCGATTCCTTCACCTGGATCCCCGGCGGCCCCGAGAGAGGGAGGGGCCGGGACCGCCGACTGCGTTGGAGACTTCACTAAGTTCCTGGTCAGATGTGGTGTTTGTGTGTGTGTGTGTGTGTGTGTGTGTGTCTGTGTGCTTCTAAGTTGCACTATCCTGGTTCAGCCTTCGATTGCATTTCATGAAACCAGCATTGTTCGAGCCCGTGAGAACCCCGTCCTGTGTCTTCAGCTTGATAGATTTTGTTTAATTTAAAGCCTTTTGTTGTTTAAAAAAAAAAAAAGGTGGGGTTCGCCTGCAGCCCCTCTGGTTCTCTGCCATCAGCACCATGTGGACTCCAAAACAAGTTGCCAACCCTTCCTTTCTTGGCCCTTCTCCCTCCTTCCCCTGTATTTTTGTGCATTCTGAATTGTGTATCAACCGGGTAAAACTGTTCAGATGATTTGTTTAAATTTATCACCTTAATAAAAAAGTCGACTCTAGAGGATGGCGGTGCCTTGTTTTCAGGTCGGCCTGGAGGTGGCGGGGAGGATAGAGGGAGGTGACACGAGACCCCTACCCTCCTGCAAAGCCCAGCTTTCCTAGCCTGGGAGGGCAGGAGCTGCCCACATCCGCAGGGCCGGGGGTGGGAGAGGGATGGGAGAGTGCTGTTTGCTGGGGAAGAAGCCGGTGCTGCACGCTTCCCCGGCCCCGCCGCCTCTGCAGAGGTGCCTGCCCCCCACGGGAACCGGTTCCCCCCGCCCCCGCCCCCAGGATCTCCAGCAGGAAGCCGAGCGAGCCACCGTCACATTTCCTAACCCAGCCAGGGGAGCAGAGCCTGCTCGGCCTCAACTCAGAGCTCTCTTGGGCCGGGGAGAGCCGCCGGGGGACATCGGGGGCTGCTGGGCCACCCACAGTCCCCGCCCTGCGCCTCCGCCCGCACGTCCGCACATCTCCGGCTGCAACTTGGGGAAGTTTTTTCCTTTTTTTTTTTTTTTAAGTTGAGTTTGTTATCACTGCTCGGTGCCACTTGGTGGTGTGCTGGCGGCGTCTCCCTCCCTCCTCGCGCCCCTCCCCTCTCCCTCTCCGCGCCCTCCCGCCCGCCTCTCTTCTTCCCTCCCCAGTGGATGGAGGCAGGAAGGCTCCAGGCGCGCTCTGCGCTCTGACCACCTACGGAATGACCTCAGAGTGGGAGAATGTGCCAAGGCCCCGAGGAAGCTCGCGTCCTCCCCACTGGAACCAAATTCACATCTGGAGCCGCGCCTCGGGCCCGGGGGCGCGCGGGGTGGTTCCAGCTTAAGAGGGGATAGAAAAGAAAGACTGAAGGGGAGGGCAAAAAAAGAAAGAAAGAAAGAAAGAAAAAGCAAAGAGGCAGCTTGCTCTCGATTTGATAGCCGCCCCTCTCTCTCTCTCTCTCCCTCTCTCTCGGTCCCTGGCTGTCTCCCCAGTGCTCTAGCTCGCTTTCTCGCCCCTGCGCTCCCCTTGGCTGCGCAAGCCCCCCCACCCCCACCCCGCGCAAGACGGCTCACGGCCCCCACCCCAGCCTTCACGCCCCCCGCAGGTAGAGGAAGGGCTGCAGCTGCGAGGACCCCCACCCCCCACCCCAAGCCGCCGAGAGGCGGACGCAAGCCAGTCCCAGGAGTCCGCTGGGCTCTGGGTCCCGGTGACGCGCGAGGCGAAGTTCTCGGGGACACTCCAGAGCCAAGGGGTTTGGGGGGGCGGAGGTGGCCGCGAAGGGCCTACGATGGGGGCGGAGGAAAGAAGGAGGCTACGGAGGCGTGAGTTCCGGGGAGGAAAGGCACCTTCACCCCCCCCACCAGGGCTGTTTTTTCGGCCTCCCACGGGAAGAGAAGAGTCTGGAGCTGCTGAGGAGGGGGAACAGTGGGTCGCCCTCCTCCCCGTGCGCCCTTCGCCCACACACCCCCTGCAAGTCCAAGGAATAGCTGTTTGATGCGCGGTTTTGATTCCATCCACCAAGCCAGTTGCCACAGCTCCCCCTAGCGCCTCTTCCAGGGCGCTGCAGAGGCTGCGGCTGGGAGTGGGTGAGGCACAACTCGAGGTGGCGGGGCGGGGGGGGGGGGGGGGGTGCTGTGGGGGGCTGCTCCGCGTCCACCCGGGGCGCAGCGCGGTCTGGCTCGAACCCTGGCTGGAGCGGAAACCCGGGGGCTGCATGCGTTCCCCACTCCGGGCCCGCCTCGAGAAAGGGCACGTGGTCGGCCGCCTTTGTTGGGAGGGCGGACCAGGGCACCCGAAGGGACCGGCCGAGCGGCTTGGGACCTCCCACCTCTCCCTTAGGGGCAAAGGAGCGTGGGTGGTGGTCTGCAAAATAAGAGCTCTAAACTGAACGGGATCGCGGACCCGGGTTATCCTCCCCTTTGCTAGGTTTTCTTGAGCTTCAGCTGTGCCCAGAGACCTCAGGCATATTGGGATCCGGGGATCCCCGTGGGCAGGGGGTGGAGGAGTCGGGGAGCACCCGGAAGAGAGATGCTCTCCCACTCAATTATCTTTTCATGGCCGAGGGACCTTGGGCAGCCACGCAAACGGTCAGTCCCCTGAGCACCGCGTGCAGCAACCAATAACACAATCCCCGGGCCGGCCACCTCTCACACTAAGAGGGTCCGCCCGAAATCCCAACACAAGCCGTGCTGATGTTACAGCACACGCCACACTGAAGGCCACACCCACCCAAACGCCCCGTCCCCAACACAAGAGCCCCAAGGAGCATCCCACTCCACTCGATGCCATGGCCCCTCCCCTGGAGGTTGGAAAGAGCTCAGCCTACTCCCCCAGGACATCCTGAGAAACTAACTTGTGCTCCCCAGCAGAGCACCGCTGAAAGGCTGGGAGTGGGGGCTGGGGATGGAGTGCGGGCAGTGTGGTCTTGGGGAAGGAGGAAGAGGGGCAAGCCGGCAGGCAAACCAGGAGTCCACAGACCCAGGTCCACAGACAAGCCCTGCTCCTTCCAGGAAAATGACTCAGACAGAGCCCCTAGGCAGGACTTGGGGTTGGGGGACACTCATTGAGGAGATAGGGAGATTGGAAGAGACTGGGGACTTAGTGGTGAGACAGAGCTTTCAGAGAAGAGCAGTTCTGGAAGCCAGGGCTCTAGAAGGCTCTCCGCCCCTCCTCCCCCAAGTTAACCAGCGCACGCACACACACACACATGCACACATACACAATTCCCCTAGCTCCTAGAACAGCGCAGGTTCTGCTGCCCTTGATACGTGGTGTAGGGCTGATCCAGGCTCTGAGTTGCGCTCCTAGCAATATGGAGCTGCTGGGATGACAGCTGAGGGCCTGGGAGAGCTGCAGGCTGCCCTCCAGAGAAGCCAGGGGCTGGGGATGCCCTGGGCTCCCAGGAGGGTCACTGTGTGGGATGCTGAGATCTGAGTGTTTCTATTCTGTGTATGTGTGTGTTTGTGTGTGGGGCGGTGGGTGTCACTCTGGTAACAGGGCATCTCTTTCTGCCTCTCCGTGTGGAGGACAGACATTTGCCCCACTTAGTGCCTAGCCAGGGCAAAGCACTGAGCTGATCACTGCAAAAAAAGAACATCAAAGAAGAGGACAGCAAAGTCCCTCTGTATGAATTCACTGAGGTTTTCCAGCTATTCTCAGAGAAAGATACTATGAGCATCCTTGTTTTAAAAGTGAGAAAGTTTGCCCGAAATCACACAACTATGATGTGGCCAGTCTTACTGCTGGAGTTCACAGTCTAGTGGAGAAGAATTTATTACATACCTCAGTGTGAGCTGTCAAATGACCCTGATGTTGTCTAAATAGCAACACTGGTTAGTTCCAGCTGAACCTGAACTAACAGATTGGGTGCACACATCTTCTAATGCTTCATGCTCTAGGTGGAGGGACGGAGAAACACATAGGACACACAGGAGAGACACATAGGGTGTCTGTATCCCACCCCACCCAGCGCAGAAACTGACCTCTTCCTGGTATTTGTCAGGACCCGTGTGACAGGGAACAGTGAGCTGACTGGAACCAGCATGGGAAGAAGTGGGATCTCTTGGTTCATGGCACGCAGCTGTACAGTGGGCAGAGATGGAGCGGGCTTCAGGTACAACTGGATCCAGGGACAACCAAACAAGACTTTCTCCTCTGCACTGGGCGCCCACTCTGCTACTGCTGACCCATTTCTCATGACAGCAGCCCCTGGCTTCCCATCC